CCTCAAACTCAAAGCAATCGGTGCATGTTCCTCAAATTTTTTATCCTTTTCGTTTGATCAATTCTACCCCGACGGTGTATGTTGAGAAGAGCGGCTAGCTTAGGAGTTGTAATAATATCTCACATCGAAAAATATGACGAAAATAAATAAATAAATATATATGTAAAAATTCATAATCCTAACCAATAACTCGAATAGTTTAGTGATTATTTTTTTTCGTTAAAAATAAAAAGTATTAAAATCAACTTGTATGGCATGTGGGTAGAATGAGAAAAGAGATGAAAGATGATTGTCTTTTCTTGTACAATCAAAATTAAAAAAAAAAATTTCATAATCCTAATATATTAATATTTTGAGTTTAAGAGGATATTTTAAAGTCAAATATATTTGGCTTATTCAAGCTTGGCAAATCCACGCTGCCAATAACGTATACTGCATCCATATCTCATCTAACCATGTAAGAATCGTTTTCCGATTTATTTTTTTTCTCACTTGTATGTGTATATATATATATTTTAACATTACACATATATTTTATTTTTGAATAAATTCGCAAAGTGTCGGATTTAAACAATTGCCTTAAGAATGAGGGAATGCACTTATATGTGGCCTAACACCATTGGACCCGAAGGCTCAGGTGCTAATATTATACATATTTAGACAATTTTTATTCCTAAAATTTATAAATAACATAATTTTATTTTATATATTACAGGTACAATCAAGTTAATAATACAATATAATTAAATCGTCAATATTACAACGTACCCGGCTTCTCTATTTCACTAGAACTAGAATAATTTCAGTGGTAAAACTAAAACAGACCATAAGACAACACAAGGGAGAGATTTATATTAAATACAATAGCATTATTCTGCCCTCATCTTACTTGGAAGTTCATTTTCTTGATACCAAAGGCAAATAAGAAAGCAAAGAGCACTGAGAAACCAACCAAGACTGCAGCAACAGGCCCCATGAAATCTGAATCGAACCCAAAATGGTGTTTTAAGTACCATTTAACGGTTGGGTTGGGCACAATTCCAGCAACTTCAATGGTGTTTTCATCATCTCCATATTGTGAAGTGATCAATCCATTAACTGTCCATGAAACCGGGCACAACCAGTAATACCAAACCCACCACTTTGGCATTTTCTGAAATTTTTTTGTAAGTAAAAAGTTTTTGTTAGACATTCCATAACAATTGGCTTTAATTCTAGATGACCACTTGTAAAAAAAGTTACTATATATACCGGTCTAGGGATGAAGAAGCCAGCGAAAAGGTTGAAGAGTGAGTAGAAGGATGCTGCTAAAATGGCTGCCACTTGGGGGTTTGGGGTGATGGAAACAGTCATCATTCCATAGTATGTGAAGTAGAGGAAGGAGAAAAAGGAGATGAAATAGAACCAGAAGAACTTTGCTGCTGTCCATTGAAAATTGAACATGGCATACACAATGAGTGTGAAATATGTGGCTTGGGCTAACACATACGGTATTTCAGAAGTCACCTGCACAATAAATAATCGGAACTTAGTTCAGTTTCTTCTATCCTAAATGGTTCTTAAAGAACTAGACGCAGAATTTAGAAAAACAAAGAAAAGAACCTTAACCTTTACTTTCCTTCTCACCTGAGCAAGGGCATAAGGTAAAGGAGAGGACATTCCAGCAGCTCTTTCTCGATAAAATACTGTTCTTTCTATGGCTACCACTGGCTGTGCTGTTTGACAATTACTGACTCCTATAAACATAACAGATAGAAACATGGCCAGCACTATCATGGTTAAATCGTTTGCATTCTGGCTGGAGCACAGAAGATGAGAAAAAACAAAAATCATTTAGTAAACATCCCAAGTAATACTATATAGGAGTATGGTTAATGATTTTGAATTTTTGAAGAGAAAATTAGTGCCAGACATTTTACTTCCAACCCTCCAGTAGACTGATCCGAGCATGAGGGAAGCAAGCAGGGTGAAGAAGAGTCCAACAAGGTTGTAGTCAGGACTTCTCCAGTAAGTCATCCATTGCTTCCAAAGACAGGATTTGAACTGCCCCCACATTGTCTGAGAATATTGAGATGTGAAGTAGAGGTCTTTTGCTCCTGGTGGTGGTGTACTTAACTCTATCACCAAAGCCTTGTTTTGCCTACTTACAAGGACATCTATTAGCATAAAAACAACAAGAGGTTTTTACTTCCTAAACATCAAAACAGTACTTACTGATATAAGGATGATGATTTATAGTGCTCAGCAAAGTCAATACCAAGCCGGGATTCAACTGCTATTGAGCTCACTTCTAACATCCAGGTAGCAGGATTGTACTTTTCCTGGATTTTAGGGATTTCAGGAATTGCCTGTGGCAAGTGAATGTCAAACCAGGGGTGAATGTGACAATGTGTTCAATAAATTATTATTGTATAAAATGAATTTGTGATGAGAATTCATTTACGAGAAGATAAAGCACCTCAAAATATTGGATCAACTTGTGAGAATTCCGACCCAGTGGTCCAAAGTAGATCAATTGTCCTCCTCTTTTCATCAGTAGCAATTCATCAAAGGCTTCGAAAATATCAATACTAGGCTGATGGATTGTACAGACAACGGTTCTACCTGTATCCACAGTGTTTCTCACTGTCCTCATAACAATGGCAGCTGCCCTTGCATCGAGACCAGAAGTAGGTTCGTCCATGAAAATAATTGAGGGGTTAGCAACAAGCTCCACTGCAATTGTCAACCTTTTTCTTTGTTCTGTTGACAACCCTGATACTCCTACAAGCCCCACCAGAGCATTTTTGATGTTGTCCAACTCTACCAATTCCATCACTTCATCCACAAAACGCTACAAGAGAAAAGCGAGATGGACTTGTTTTAGCACTTAAATTGGTTTGATATTCTTAACTGTGATATATAAGTAAATGCACGATTTTAAGTTCTCACCTTTTTTTCCTCTGGACGAACTTCTTTTGGAAGCCGGAGGAAAGCTGAATATACCAGTGATTCTTTAACAGTGATTTGGGGTGAGTGGACATCAGTTTGTTCACAATATCCAGAAATTCTTGCAAAGGTTTCTTGATTTTTGGGGAATCCAGAAATTCTGATATCCCCTTCAATATATCCACCAGTCTTTCTTCCTGCCAAAACATCCATCAATGTCGTCTTTCCAGCACCACTAACTCCCATTAATGCAGTCAAGACTCCAGGCCTGAATGCACCTGTTACTCCTTGAAGTAGTTGTAGCTTATCTTGAGTCACTCCTTGGTCCTTCATTTCCTGTGAAAAATCAGAACAATAAATTACTAATGTAGCTGAGTTGGATTCTATGTACAATACTTGATTTTGGAACGCTTGTATGATATGTTTTCTTTAAGGTTGAGGTATATGAATAGAATCATAATTTTTGAGAAAAAATTGGCGAGACATCAAAAGTAATTCTTACAGGGGGCATGTCAACATAGTAATTGACATTGTTAAATGACATTGTCAAAGGCGTAAATGGAAGAACCATTCCTCTGGTTGATGAAAGTGCTGAATCAGAATTTCTGCTTGTTCCTTCAGGCATGCTTTGGCTGCTTATTCTATGGATTGCCATTTCTCCTGAAGGGTTTTGATCCCATTTAATAAACATCACATTGAAAACAATAATGAATTAATGCAAGAAAAATGGCAGAATTTCAACAACAGTTGCTTCTTACTTGAACTATTGTTTCCATCAAAAGATGACATTGGCTGAGAAGTCTTAGATCTCATTCTTCCTAGTCTTGGTTCTTTCTCCAATTTTTCTTCTTCTTCTTCTTCTTCTTCTTCTTCTTCCTCAGGAATTATTGCTTGTGGTTTCTTGGGAGCTTATTATCATTAACCAAGAAAAAAAAATGACGATTAGAGATCTTTAAGGGAACAGAACAAGAAAAAAGGATAAAAAGGAATATTAACACTTACCCTTTAGGTACTCTAGTGCTAAGGTGAAGAGGGTAATGAAAAGGATAATGAACCCAAAAAGAGCTGCTGCACCAATCCAATACCAGTTTCTGTCAGTAAAAATCTTGTATTGTTTGAGCACTGCCACTCCCAAACTAGTAGATCCGTCTGATGCCTACAATAGAAATCAAAAGAAATGTTATAACTAACTGTTTTCTTAATGATCTAATTACCCAAATTGTATGAAAGGTCGCTGTAAACAACATACCAATTTGTTCATCCACCTTTCAGCATACATTTCATTTACAGCTATGGCATTGAAACCATAAGACATAGGGGAAACCCAGTAACCCCACTTCCACCACTTTGGGATTTTAGCTATTGTCACCAACAAAGCAACTCATTGTGTCAATATATCAAACATCTTATAGATTTATAACAATGTATATGCACAAACACTCTGACATGTGCTTAATTAAGATTCAATCTTGTACTTACTTCTTGGAAGGGATATCCCTGCCAGGGACACCACAAACAACAGAACAAACATTCCGCCGGTATTGGAAACGACCATCACCTTGCACACTGCTGCAATGAATGTAAACATTGCACCGGCCATTTGTTGTATCAAAACTACCAATAGCAGGTGCTTGAAAAATCTGCAAAAGATACCATTGTTTAATACAAAAACCATTGATCCTAGTAAACCAAAACATAATCAACATGGGATTTTCCCACTAAGGAAGAAAATTTAGTGAGGTACCTGCTAGCTTCTGGAGCAAATCCTATGGAATAATATGTTATACCCACCCAAGTAATTGTTTCAAAAATGGAGATGGGCACTTTTAGCAAGGAAACTGGGATAGTGAATGCCCAAGCTGGATGGAATAAGAGGTCCCTATGTTTATAAAAAACTGGAAGCCTGGCGATATTGAGGGCAATCTCAGCATACCCATTAAAAGTGTTTGTGAAAATTCCAAACAGCAATGCACCTATATATGTTGCACCATCTTCCTCATTCCTAGTATGCATTCTAGTTCTCAAGAACATTGTAGATGCTATGAGTGCTAGGATGACAAGCTGGGTGGTCTTGAAGACATAGAAGAATGAGTTTCTCCTCATCAAGAGGACTTCTTTATCCCAACAGGCCTTGAGTAGTTCGAGTTTGGGAATTGAGTACTTTGTGAAGACTAAGGCCGCTCTGTGGCTTTTGGACTTGTCGAATGGTATCGAGAGTTCCTGTTGCAGCTGCGTCCCCACATGGGATTGCTTGAATTTTTTTGCAAATTTGGATACCGGTACGTAGCGGTATGGCTTGCTTCTATCTGCCCAATATTGTTCTTGATCTTTCTTTGAGGTAACCTGCAACATGAACCACTTATTTTGTCACACAAGGGCTAAGTCAAAAGAGTAAATAAATAAAAATTACTTTCATATTATCTATTCAAGGAACATTATCATTGAATCATGTTGGATATCTTTTCTCTTAGTGTAGATTGCATTGGAGTACAAATAATCAACTATAAGATTTCGAGCCCTAGATTTAACTTGTAGGGGCAGGTTGCTCCATCTTATGATTC